GTCTTACCTACATTGGTGGCTATGAGGGCTCAGGTGACTGAGGAAGGAAATGGGGTGGGGGGTCCAGGGATGGCATGGCACCTGTCATCTCCCTGGCCTCTGGGATTAGGTCTGGGCCCCAGCGGTGCTGATGGGCAGCAGCCATTTGTTGAGAAACTGGGGATTCTGAGGGTGTTGGTGCCTCGAAAGGTGCCGAAGTGTGGTCTAGAGTCGTGGGAAGCGCTGTTCTCCGCGCCGGTAGTGACACTGCTACCATCCTGGGACAAATCCGGAGCACTGGGAAGGAGACAGCATCCTTAGCCTGAGTGGTGACTTTCTCATGAGAACTGGAAAACTGGGGTGAGAAGGCTTCAGGAATCAACTGTGTGGGGAGATGCCGGAGATGTTCTGGTAAATGTTCACCTGGCTATTCAGGGCGGGGGGAGCTCCGATTCACAGCATCGGCCAATTTCCATGGTGTTAATTACTCCCACCAAGGCTGATTTCAAGCTACTAACACGACCTCCCCAGTGAGGGGAGCACCGCTGGGAGGGGTCCAGGGGGGCCATGAGGTCAGGGGAACACTCTCAGGCCAGGCATAAACTCACAAAAGCTCATGATCTTGAAGACCTGTCCAGCCCCCTCCACCACCAGGTTAGGTTTGGTATCGGTCTTAGCTTAGACGTCACAGGCCCCAGGAAGTCTCCTGTGCTCCTCGGTCTGGGCTAGGGCCCCTCTTCATGCTTTCTTGGCCCAGGACTGTCCCTGCTTAAACACTGGTTACTCCGTGTCCTCCACAGGGCAAGCTGGGGCACACTGAGCTGTGCCTACCTTAGCTGCAGTGTCACCTGAGGCTTCCTCAGAGGTCTCCTGGGTGCCTGCCTGCCCAGGAACGTAGCGTGGTGCTTCAGGGCCTGTTCTCCATGATGAAGGCCCACATTTGCCAGAGATGCCCTTGAAGCTCCTGGCTAGGGCTAGGGAGCGGCCCAGGAGGGCTTATCTCTAAGGAGCTGGTCCCTGCCCCGAGGAGGGTGAAAGCAGCAGACTGAGAAGGCTGGGGCCGCAGGCCCTAGAGCTGTGAAATGCCAGCTTTGGATCTTGGAGGGGCCCAGCGTGTCCCGCAGGCTGTCTGGCCTGGAGTGCGAGGAAGGCGAAGACACACCCAGTAGCTAGCTCAGGAGGCAGCACTGTGCGAACCCCTCCCGCCGCATCTCATAAAACCTTTGTGAGCCCATTGTGGCCTTTTGACCCCTTATCAGAAGGTCATCTCACAACAGCTTTTTTTGTTTTGCTCATTGCCATACCCAACACCTAGAGCAGTACCTAGTTAAAAAAAAAAGGCAGGGAGACATTCAGTAACTATTGCTGACTTAAATTTATAGGATATGTAAAGAGTACAAAGGCCAATGTATGACTAAAAAAAAAACAAAACGTCACACCAGGTCGAAGTATTCACAGAGCCTAAAGGGAGGTGGCCAGCAGGAACAGTGGGTGTAGAAAGAAACTGGATCTGGGTTAGAATTTGGCAGAACAGCAGCAGCAAGCAGGTAGCCCGTCGTGGGTACACGGTCGGAGGATGCTGGGGTCCAAGCAACGACAGCATCTGTGCACTTGTTAAGTACCTACCAGGACTCATGTGCTTTTCTAAACTGAACGATCACCTGAACAAGACAGTTCATTATTTCTCATCAACACAAGGTCCCATCCTCTCCCCAGGGGCCTCCCTCTCCTACTGCCTCAACTCGAATTTGTGGAAAATGCCAAAAAAACTGACTAGGGGGGAAGTTTCTTTCTCTGAATGGAGCTAACGAGTGTTCACACGCCCTTGGCCTCCTGCAGCCAACGGCAGCGTCCCGCTGGAGTCAGGCCTCGCACCGATTCACAGCGATTCACAGCACTGCGCTTCTGAGCGGGAGACAGCGACTCCCGGATCCTGCCGATCTTGGATTAGGACCACAAGTTAGACATTCCTCCTCTTATTTTCCATGTCAGTAGAGCAGGATTCATCAGAGGCCTGGGGGATGAGCGTCAAGATAAACACCCCTAGGGCACGCCAGGTTTCTAGGTTATTCTTAGACGTGGGGTGGAAAGATTCTAGCCACAGTCAGGCTGTAAAAAGCAAACAGGCAGTTGCAGAGAGCTGCCCACCCACCATCCCAGGCGCTCCTGTAGCTGTGCTGACTGCCTGGATGGTCACTCACAAAGGAAAAGGTAGTGAGAGAAGAACTGGAGACAAAGGAGGGAATTTAGGTCTTTCTGCAAAACAGCAGCTTCCAGAGAAACAGACGATGAGCATCCAGCTATCCGACCCACAAAGGACAAAGTCGCCCACCTTGGCAGTCTGACTGCTGTGATGGAGCATGCCTAGAGGCAGAGCAAGCCCTTTCTAGGTTAATGTAACCAGAAGGATATGGGACACCTGCCACTCGCTGCAGAGCGCTTCACATAGCTGGCTGCATTCATCTGCTTAGTAAAGCCAGAATATGAAACAAACCCTCTTTACCCAGTTTCTCAGAGCCCTGTTGTAAAGAACAAGCCTTTAATTAGAGCCAGACAGCATAGCAGTGGGGCTCAGCTATACAGCAGTTTGGTGCTGCAAAGCAGAGAAGTTACAATGTATTTTTCTGGGCAAGCAAAATGCAGAAGACGTTTAATAACAGATACCGTTTCTGGGGTCGCTGTCTGCAGGCACTCAGAATGGTCCAGCATTTGACATATGGTCGTGGGCTTTCCTACAACACAGCCTCTAACAAAACTAGGCTGTCCTGAACCCCTCCCTGGTGATTGAATTGCTTACCTGTATACCAAGAAGGTTGGGAAAGCACCAAAATCTGCATGTGGCGTGTGCTCAGGCGACTTCGAGGGGTTCGTGCTGTGAGACCTAAAGTTCTTATGAGGTTGTCAAAAACAAAAAAAACATGTCAGCAGGGCCTATGCTGGTTCCATGTGTGCTAAATGTGTTCGTGACAGGATCAAGCGTGCTTTCCTTATCGAAGAGCAGAAAATCGTTGTGAAGGTGTTGAAGGCACAAGCACAGAGCCAGAAAGCTAAATAAGAAAATGAAGCTTTTTAAATAAAAATTAAGAGGCTTAAAACAACAACAACAAAAAAAACAAAACAAAAAAAAACCCAGATATCTCTCCAGGGAAAGAACATTATGTAGTCTAAGAGGAATAATGCAAATTTGGGGTAATTTTTGGTTTGTGTCTTTTAAAAATAGAACATTCAGACTTTTGTTTGTGAGCAGTGCAGTAATAACTGAGATATGATTATTTAGAGATGAAGAAAACAAGGCTCAGAGAGGTTGAGTAACTTGCCCAAGATCACACCGTTACTAACAGCAGGGTTGGGATTCAAACCCAGCTAGTCTAGCTTTTAAATTTTGTTTTATTTATTATTGTGCTTAGTCTGTCTTTAAGAGCTCACTTTCTTAAACCCTGTGGAAAACTTGAGGGGGATGTGATGTTTTGAAAGGAAGGGTGACAAGTCACTGTGTCCAGGAGCTGTGGAAGGAAACAGTCTGTGAAGTCAGTCTCTGCAGATGGCCTCAGGCTCTTCAAGTCAAGATGTTTTTTCTTTAAGGATCTTTCCTTTAACTATCTATGTACAAGGGTGTTGTTAACTGCAGCATTGTTTTAAGAGTAAAAGGTTTGAAGCAACCTAGATTTCCTTCAAAAATAGGCTAGAAAAGTAAATTATGATGCAAACACACAATGAAATAGCCAGGTATAAAAAAGAAACAGGAAGTTCTTTACGTATGGAACTATTGCCAACGTAGAGCTGAGAAAAAGCAAGGTACAGAATAGCATACAGTTTGCCATTTGTGCAAAAGAAGTGTGTATCTGCTTGTACGGACAGAAGATCTCTGGAAGGACAGTGAGGAACTGCAACACTAGCTGCCTCTGAGGAGGGAAGTGGGGGAGAAGGGTGAGAGGCACTTCCCTCTACGTCCTTCTGTACCTTTGATTTCGAACCATGTGAACACACTGCTACCTATTCAGAAAATGTGCATCTGTACTCTTTTAAAAGTGAATTACAATATGTGAACTTAAAGACAGAATATATAAAAATTTACGTATACCCATGCAAACGAAACACATGTAGCAGGAAACAGGAATTTATTACATCGAGATGATAACAATCTTTTCCTTCTCTATTTTTCCAGAATTTTTACGATGTGGTTATAATAAATATTCTTAAAGTATTTTTTGTATATTTAACTTATTTCCTCCCTGACTCTACCAGAATTCCAATCAGCAATCATGGGGAGGAGGACAGAAATGAAGATTAGAATCCCCATATACATGGCATACTCAACAAAGAAAAAAAATCCACTATCCCTAAAATGTTGGCAAGTCAATAGTTTCCAACACTTCATGAAAATACTTGGGATATAAAGAACTATTAATATATAAAAGAATGGTTCTCCAGGTAAGCAGTGAAAAGGGAGAGGGAAGCAAATCACTAAGGATATAATGTGGTTTCACAATCCTACTAGCGGGCTCCTGGTTTCAAATGACCATTCTCCAACTTCCTGTATTTTTCCTCATTCCCATCACAGGTAACCAATATCGCAGGCTGTCCTAAGTTTTCTTTCTGTTTAAAAAGTGGAAGTGGGCAAAAAGAAAGACAACTTAAAAAAAAAAAAAAAAAGCACATCAAGTTCTCATAAAATCATTGCCCACGTGTTCATGACATTGGGTAAAACAGATTTGGAAATATCTTTAGAACACCAGCTGAAGAACAGGAACTCCCCTCACCCCAACGCAAGGTAAGCAGTGACCCGCCTCTGTAATAAGAAGGAACCTGAGAGTCAGGTGTTAACAGAGCCCATCAGGCGTGGCTGGGAGCGCGGGCTTAGCTTCTCAGGCTGACGTTCACTTGAAGTCTATCATCTGATAGTCACTTTCTTGGCTGTAATCTATGAGCTGCCAGTGTTTACTTGTGAGACTGTCTGTGAGCTGGAAGGGGAGGAAGGTAAATACACCAAAGCCCAGCTGAGCAACTGACAGGTTTTACATTTTATTTCCAGGAAACGACATACTGTTTTCACAAAGAAGAGGTAAGCCATCCTCTCATCCTCATCCCACTACTGAATCAGGGCGTCAGGGGAGCCATGGGGCACGCCCAACCTGTCCACAACAACTGTCAACAAGGGTGCTTCTGAGGTATCAAAATAACAACAACAACTTTAAAAAACAAAACAAAACTCAAATAACCCATTCAGCACGTAGTGAGGCGGAGTCTACGAAATACCCTGAAGAGCTGGGCGCAGTAAGCCCCAGCGGTTCTCCAGTGACGGCAGCGCCCTGGCGGGGGGGCTTCCCAACTCGGCAGTCTCTGCCCCACGTGGCTCCTCAGGTGACTTGCAGAGCGGCCACGTCACGTCACAGCCAGAGAATCCTCCAGACCATTCTAAGCTCCCATTGCCTGGCAGTCTTTCAAATGCCCTTAAAGCACAGTCTTCAGGACAGCCTCTTTGCTTTGGAGAGAAAGGAAAGGAAGATAAGGGAGGAGGCCGCATTCCCCTTCCCTGGCCATCCCTGCCCTCGGCCACCCTCCCGCACAGCAGCCAGGGCGAATGGAGAAGTGGAGTTGGACCGCGTCCCGCTGCTCGAAGCCCACCCCTACTCCTCTCAGACTGGGAGTTACAGTCAAGGCCCTGTCGCAGCCCACGCGGCCCTGCGCAAACTGCCCCTTGCCCAGCCTTCCTCTCCTCGTCTCCTGCTAACGAGTATTCTCCCTGGATGAGTTCAGCTTGCCAGACCCCAGTACTGCTGCCGCTCCCCGAGACGTTCCTTTACAAGGCTCTGTCGTTCAGCAAATGGGGATGGGCAATTACCAGGGAACGCCCGCCCCGTGGGCACATGGATGCTCTTCAGAGCCTGGGCTCTGCCAGTGTCTCCTGTCCTATGTCCGGACCGCCCATCCCTTAGCCTACAGGAAGCTGCCAAGAGCTACTGGCCATGTGGTCTGACCTGGGCTGATCTTCCCAGAGACCCCCAACTCTGGAGGGTCCTGTCTCAGATTCAAAAAAGCTGTGGTTCACAAACCTTTCTCCCCACCTCAGCACACCTGAAGGCCACGGCCACTCTCACTAGGAGCCTCTCTATTCACCACCACAACAGCACGGGAGCTGGGCAATGTGGCTTTTAAAAGCTCCTGGGCTAAAAACCACTGTTCTAAAAGACCAATGAGATTTTACTTCTAGATCATTTACTTTTTTCTTTTCTGAGCACAACCCAGAGAAACTGCTAGGAAAAGCAAAAAGTGAGAGTGTTAACACTCTTGTCAACCAACTACCAACTAATGAGAACAGAAGAAACGGGAGGGGAGCGGCTGACAGAAGACTCTGCCCCCTCACCTCACCAGCTCCAGAGGAGAGTTCAGAAACTCTCCTCCCTCCAGAGCAGTCTCTTGCCAACACTGCAGAGAGCCACGATTACTCATGCGATAGGAATTACTGAACGTTTCTCATCTGCCCCCGCTCCAGAGCATCCTTTCTCCAGCTCAGGACCCAGAATCCTCACATCCCCACCCTCCTCTCCTCTGGCCTCGCAGAGTTTGCAAGAGATCATGGCTAACTGGTCAGAGGCATCACTCTTCCCACTGGGCTATGGAACTTCAGGACCATCACCAGCCAAAGAGGCCTTAAAAACGAGGCTGCTCTTGGAGAAATCGGAGCACGGGCACATCTGCACAGACAGCCCCTGCTGCCACAGGTGGGCACGTCTCCCTCTCTGAATTTGAGATAAGAGCAATCCCTGCCCAGGGCCCTGCCACAGTGTCAAGACTTTGACAATCACAGGTGTGCCAATCCTAGTTCCCAGATCCTAAATTTGGTCCTTTTAAAAAATTTCATGCACAGGGGATTAAACCAGCTTTCAACCGGCCCTGGAATATGCAAGGAAGGTTCGCATTTAAACTGAATGTTCTCTAACCTCACGCTGCAGCCTAGTGAAGCTGCTCATGGCTCTGGCACATCTTTCCTTAAATCGGGTCTCAGAACCTCCGTCTGTCTCTAGAGAAAACCTCAAAGCTGCACTCGCTGCGATAACCACAGAAACTGAAATGAGTGCCAGAAATGCTCTCAGTCGATGTGTGCGACAGAGAGGCTGATGTGGTTTACTGCGCAGCCCCCTAGTGTTACCAAAAAGGTGGAGAGGCACCCTCTTTAGCCTTTGGAGAGGAAAAGGAGGAGGTGCCTGATACTATTTACTCGCAGAACTAACTTTGTGTAAGGGGAGTCAAAGGTGAATTTAGGACGTGGGGCTCCCCTTTCCCTTCCTAGTGCTTCGCGAGGGCACCTACCGTGCTGGACCGCAGGGAGGGAGCCCAGGCAGTGGGCTGTGGAAAAGGCTCATGCGTCCCCACTCCCACAGACTCAGCACCCTTCAGCTCAAGGGCTGTAACCTCGTCTTGGTCCAATTTGGGTTCCTGGTCACTGGTTCGTCTCAGAATGGGAAGTAAGGAAAAAAAGAATTCACGAGGCCTCAGTAGGTAATTTCTAAGCCTTGGCTGTCCTCATGCAAGTCTGGTACCACGAGAACATCATGTCCTGTGTGAACCACACAGGGGAAGGTAGGGCAGTCACGCTTCTCATGCCTCTGTGTTTTGCTTGTGCTGTTTCCTCTGCTTGGAAAGCTAACCCCTAGGGAACCTTTAAGGCTCAGTTCAAATGTCACTTCGTCTGTGAAGCTTTCTCCCATACCTTAACTTGCCCAAGCCAAAGTAAGCGTCCCCTCCTCTGAAGTTTCGTAACTTCAGCCTGTTGTGGAACTCATCACACTATCTACGTGTCTGTCCTCACCAGACTGCGTGCTGAGATCATGCGTTATTCATCTCTATCCCAACGCCTAGTGCAGTATTCCTATAAATGCTTATCGAGTGATGGGAGGTAAAATTGAAGAACAATGGAATTCTGCCAGAAATCAGTAGCTTTTGGAGGTAAAAAATTTGTGGGGGCTCAAAATTGGGCACAAAATCCAACAGCAGACACGTGTCAGAAAAGTGGAAAATGCTTTGGTTCCAAAGAACCCACTGACGGCTGCCCCACCCTCCCAAGGGTCAGAATGTCCTCCTTGGGCATAACAGGCTGACGCGCCTCCTGCTCGGCACCTGCACTACCCGCTTCTGTGACAAGCCTGCTGCCTCCAAGCTGGCTGCCCAACCAAGAGCCAGCTTCAGACGACAGCTGCTTGCGCGTCGGTACCACATTCCTGACCCGAAGTGGCTGACCTCTGTTGAAGGGCTAAGGACAAGGAGTAAGTGGACAGAAGATCCTATTCTAAGCAGTGCGGTTTTTGACCCTTCCAGCTTCTCTGGACTTAGAGAAAGGTACAACCAAAGAACACACACAAAAGTGGGTTTCCAACGGCCAGGTGGGGGAAGCACCTGTAAGGGCAGTGAGCTTCTGCTTCCTCTCTCATGGGCCTGTTATGGGCAGCCAGTTGACATCACAGCACCTTGGCTCTGAAGCTTTCCCAGAAGGCAGAGCCTAACTGGACACTGAAGGGGCTGAACATGATCACACCTACCTTGCTGCTTTGTTCTCTTATCCCTGCCCAATAACCAATCCTTTCTACCCCTTAATTCCTTGCGCTTTGCCCCAGGACATATTCATTTGCCACAGAGACACTTAAGTCTCAAGCAGAGCGGCTCTCTGCAGGTCCCAACACGAGAGGCCTCAAGTGTCCCTTGGTTAAATGAACAGGTATTCACTAGGAAGGCGAGTTCATGAGGGAAACTCACCCGTCTCTTCCCCAATCTCTCTCTCCAACTGGAGACTTGTGAGGAAATACATGCAGGATTGTATTTGTATCTTTGGCTTAACATTATGCCCAAATTGTGTAACCGTGACTCGTAGGTAGAACCTGCATATGTGTTTTCTTTAGGCATTCTCCAAGTTGTTAATCTTTGACTTGTACACATCCTACTTATATATAATCACTATACACCCAACCGAAGGTTTTTGCAACACCTAGACGGCAACTAAACTGTCTTGAGCAACAGCACCATCTAGTGATCAGTATAGCAAAACGTCTGTGTGTTTGCTAATCACATCTTTGACCCCCACAACCAAGACACACACACTTAACCCCACTTTCCTGCTGTTCAAATAACAGAGGTTAATTCTACCTAAACTCTTTCACACATTCACTATCTTTAACTCCTTTTACTCTTTCCCATTTCTTCCACCTCTTCCTTAGTTCAAGAATCATTAACCTGACTCTCTCTTCCCCAATCAAAAGAAACTTTTTTACTAAAATCTGGAAGTAAATAAATTCTTTCTTGAGGGGTAGGGATTCTCACACTCACTCACCTTTTCTTTCCCTAATGAGGACAGTTCGTCGTTCTTTCACTTCTGAGCTCAGATTATCTACCATCTTATTAATGCAATTGTCCAGAACCAGGGAGCGGGTTTTGGACTTAATGTCCTTCCGACAAATGGGGCATTCTGTCTTCCGCTTCATCCATTCATTGATACAGTAGGAACAGAAACTGTGGGCACAGTTCAAGGTGACAGCCTACAATGGAAATGTGAACAACACATCAGAACCGCCACCCTTACTTCCTTGCGGTAGTTATGATCTGAAAGGTAGGACAGGAGCTCATTTTCAGAAAAGGTAACCACAATCCCATCTGGAGGGTTTACAAAGAGTATTAGAATCATTCTTGGAGTTGGATTTTTTTTTTTTTGGAGACAGGGTCTCATTCTGTCACCCAGGCTAGAGTGCAGTGGCATGATCATAGCTCACTGCAGCCTCAAACTCTTGGACTCAATCCTCCCACCTTGGCTCTCTAAAGTGCTAGCATTACAGTCGTGAGCCACACTGCATCCAGAGGAGTTGGAAATTTTTAAACTTCATGTTAAGACAACTCATATCCTCCTTTCTCAAAGTTAAGGTCACAGACTCAGGCTCTAGGTAGGCTGATTTATCTGTCTTGATTTAGCAACTCAGACCACACTGCCAACATGGGTTAGCCACCTTGCAAACAAATGTCACTGGACACAAGTAGGACTAATAAGTGTGTAAGTGCTGTACATTTACATTACTAATTCTCTTATGAAAAACGAATTTATGTCCTGTTAATTGTGAATTAGAACTTCAATTTTAATATATGAAGGGGAGTACATACTGAATAGTCAGTGTACAGAATGATAGGAAGTATCATCCCTAAAGAAATTAAAAATATAAAAGGCAATTAAAAAGGCTGGGCAAAAAAGGAACTAAAAAATGTCAAAAATGTAATGGGGGCCGGGAGCGGCGGCTCACGCCTGTAATCCTAGCACTCTGGGAGGCCGAGGTGGCAGGATCACTGGAGGTCAGGAGTTCGAGACCAGCCTGAGCAAGAGCGAGACCCCGTCTCTACTAAAAAAAAAAAAAAATGTAATGGGTTCACTGACAGTGCCTAAACCTCTAAGCAGATTGCCTGTGAGGAGAGAAAGCAGAAGGAGCCGGTGTTGAGAGGCTGTTCTGAGTAATATACCCCTCGTCAGATTTCTGCCAGGGTCTTTTCACTCCCAAGAACATAAACCATTCTCTTTGTTATTCTCGTTTATGTGTATCTCCTACAAGACGACTTTTTCTGAGGCTCCAAAGTCCTCATTCCTGCTTTTAGGATAGCAGTGGAAAAATAACAAGAGATACTATGTATTTTTCAAATGCCAGGTTGAACACAGAAAGCTAGGAAACTAGGAGATACTGTGTTTACTACATAAGATAAACTCTAATAAAAGGACTAACAACCTGATTAAAATGAAACATCTTGGCCGGGCGCGGTGGCTCACGCCTGTAATCCTAGCACTCTGGGAGGCCGAGGTGGGCGGATTGTTTGAGCTCAGGAGTTCGAAACCAGCCTGAGCAAGAGCAAGACCCCGTCTCTACTAAAAATAGAAAGAAATTAATCGGACAACTAAAAATATATAGAAAAAATTAGCCGGGCATGGAGGCTCATGCCTGTAGTCTCAGCTACTCGGGAGGCTGAGGCAGGAGGATCACTTGAGCCCAGGAGTTTGAGGTTGCTGTGAGCTAGGCTGACGCCACGGCCCTCTAGCCCGGGTAACACAGTGAGACTCTGTCTCAAAAAAAAAAAAAAAATGAAACATCTTGCTGAGATTGACTTTAAGAGGTTACCAGTAGAGTAAGTCAGACACTACTCCATAAACAAAACACAGGTCAAGTTGTTTATCTCTTACATGTCTGTGCAGATGCTCTGGGATGGTTAACTTGTCGTCCATTCCAACCCCCTTTCCTTGTCTTTCTCTACTGGAGTCCACAAGCCCTGCCAAAACAACACTGAGCGCTCTTCAAAGTAGGGCATCATATGACTAGAAACTATAGGGGAAATTATATCTGAAGTCTAAATGAATCCACAGAAAAAGAAACAAGTCTGCCCAGGAGAGATTTTTCAGGAGGCTGATAGACTCAAACTCCTTAAAGACTGCCTGAGAAAAGGAAGCAGAGTGTATGAGCATTTTCCTTTTTAAAGGAGTGTGTAAAGCACTGTCATTTAACAACCCGACTTTAACACTTGTGGTTCTAAGATGAACTGGTCACAAATGGTAGAATATTTAAAAAATAAAAGAGCTGGTACAAAAATATACAGGATAACAAATGGCAACCTAGGGGAGAGATGTTTCATTTTCATAAGGAGCCTCAGAGTCCCTGAAATATATTCACTTGGTCCCTGTATTCCCAAAGTGAGCACGCATCAGTGACATTTACCACCCTGTTTAAGAGGCTGCACTGTAAGCCTACTCTCAGCATTGTGCCCATTCGGAGTCAAGAAAAAATGCCTTTACTGAGCAGCCTTATTTTGATACTTGAAAAATCTAATGCCATGTGACCATGTTTCCCCCCAAATAATAAAGACATAAAAACTTTATTACAGCTAAAAATGTTAACCATACCAAATAAATATTTAAGAACAGATGAAATACAGAAAAGGATAGTGAAAGGAAAGAAGACTAAAGAACAAATGAGAAGTGGTCATCTCTAGAGGTCACTTTCAAATCAAATAGCTATAACAAGGTCTTGGAAGAAAAGCCTCTTCAGAATGCTTCTCTTTAGCAAAAGTAGCTTGTATAGCGCAGACTCCATTCAGCGCTGGGAGAATATGACCAGGTGAGCACCTGTTCATAATTACCTCAATGAAGTATTCTGAGCAAATAATACACTGGAGCTCATTCTCTAGCACATCATTCATGTGGCTGAGAACTTCTTCCTTCTGTGCTTGCACCTTCTCCTTCTCTTCCTGCAGAGACACACAACCCCACCTGTTATTCTGAGAGAACCAACAAGAATGCAGAACAGGACAAGGAGCAGGGTTAATTGTCTGGAATAGCATTCAGGAATCTTAATTAATAATTCATTCTGGTGCAGCAACATGAGAATAAAACTTTCCGTATGGATTATTGTTTCTCAAGAATTGCTTTCTAATACAGAGTGCTAACTTCCTTTCTTCCCTCTCCCCACTTGCTATGGTCTGTTTGTGTTCCCCCAAAATTCTTATGTTGAAACTTAATCCCCAAGGTGACGCTATTGAGAGGTGGGGCCGTTGGGAGGTAACTAGGTCATCAGGGCTCTGTGCTCATAAATAGGGTTAGTGGCCTTATAAAAGGCGCCTGAAGGAGCTTGTTTGCCCCTTCTACCACGTGAGGACAGTGAGAAAACTCCTATGAATAAGGCAGCTTTCACCAAACACCTCATCTGCCAGCACTTCGTTCTTGGACTTCCCAGCCTCCAGAACCACAAGAAATAAATTTTTGTTGTTTATAAGCTACCCAGTTTATGGCATTTTCTTATAGTAGCCTAAATGGACTAAAACACCACTTTTTCAGTATTTGCATTATAGGTTCTGTCTCCTTCCCCCATATTAACCGAATGAGAAAAAATGAAGGTGGCATACTAACTTCCCCCACCACCCAAGACCAGATAGGACATTAAGTATTCTTATAGCAAGCTGCAGTTCAGAGGTGATATAAAATCATCCCAATTAAAAACTCACTGGACAATAAAAGATACGAGGAACAGTCCACAGAAGCAGGAAGCTTGAATTAGTTCTAAGGTCCCTGTGTTCTTTGTCACTGCCTCTTCTATAACATAAAGATGTACCTCTGGAGGCAGGAGGCTGGAGACGGCCTCCCGAAGTACCTGCGGGCTCCCTGCCCTGCAATACTCGCCACCTCCCACACCTTCACAGGTTGAGGTTGAGCTTGAGGTCTGCAGTGCAATTTCCCTGTGCCCTCCCCAAGAGGTCAGACTGCTTGAGGACACACTTTTTAGGGAGGATCCTAGGGATGCTCTCTTGAAGCAGACATTTATTTAAGTTAGTACCTTTTCCCCAAAACAAAGCATCAAGAGCCCCTGATGGGGAAAGGAAAAGCCATTGGGGGTATATTTGAGTGGTTGGCTCATTTTTCATCTTTTCTTTTCTTTTCCAATCAAAGCAAAGATTGTCAGACTGCTTAGGGCAGTGAAGAGGGCCTGGATCCATTTCTAACTAGAGTTGAGTTCCCGGAAACCTTATGAATCACTGGGTGTAAACAGATACAGTTTCTTGAATACTGGGGAAGAAGGTACTATGTGATTTCCACAGAGGATAAGTATATCAAACCAACTAAGATGAAAGTCTTGTCTCTTCCTTTCTGTACTCAGCTGTGTGGAACAGGGTAGGATGAGAGACAAAGTTAGACTCAACTGCAAACTGGTGGCCTGTACACTGGATCTAGCCTGCAGAATTATTTAGTTTCGCCTTAGTGGTATTAAAAAGTACACAAAAACTGAACTTGTTGCCAATATATGAAAACTAGAATATTCCACATGAGCATTTGGATTTCCATCTGCTATGGAAAAATCAAGAAGATCTGACAATACTTGGCTTACATTTCTGGATGGCAACAACTGGCTGAGCAGAGAATAGCTGCCTCCTGGGGTAGGGGGTGAGTATCCCCATCCAGTGAGCCACAGTCCTCACGGCTTTCTACTACATTCTCACACCCGGGCCGCTTCATTCACTTTTTTTTTCCGACACAGAGTCTTGCTCTGTCACCCCCAGTAGAGTGCAGAGGCATCATCATAGCTCACAGCAACCTCAAACTCCTGGGCTCAAGTGATCCTCAGCCTCCCGAGTAGCTGGGACTACAGGCGGGTGCCGTGATGCCCAGCTAATTTTTCTGTTTTTAGTAGAGACGGGGTCTCACTCTTGCTCAGGCTGGTTTCGAACTCCTGAGCTCAAACAATCCACCCGCTTCCGCCTCCCAGAGTGCCGGGATTATAGGTATGAGCCACTGAGTTCACCTTCACTCACTTTTATTACCTGTCTGGCCCTGGTGGGCATTTAAGTTTATAACCCTAATTTAAGAGTTCTACTGATTTGACATAAGAAGAAATTACATGAACACATCAGGAGGAACTACTTTTTTTATTTTGACTACAACACTCCTTAGTCTGTACCAGTGACACACCCTAAAGAAGCATCCACCATAGACAAAGGACTAGAATGCAGGGTGCAAGTCCCTTATTCCCAGTATTTTGTTTCTGAACAAAGGAAAGAAAAGATATCGTCTTACAGGCTGAATCTTCTATAGGCTTGAATAATTTTATAGATTATTTCCCCTGAGGCAAGGAGCAGCCATAATTTCTCTCTTCATTCACCATAGCAACCCTTGCACTGTTGAAAATGCTGAGTTGCATGTACTAACCAAATTCTAAACCTCCATCTTCTTTCCAGTACCTTGGTCCGCTCCAATTCTTTGTTCTTGGCTTGAATGATTGCTTCAAAGTCCTTCTTGCTGCGATTTAGCTCTTCCATTAGAGCCCGGTGCTGCAGAAACATAGCAGATATACACTCGTGGTGAACTACACAGCATACTTCCTTTTATCTACCTACATGCCTGCTCCCTCGCTCCAGTAAGTGATTTTGGTTCAAAGATCAATGAATTGGTAATTTCAAAATAATGCCTTCATTCCACCAGGAAATCCTACCTACCTGCTGCTTTTTTTTAGGGATGGGGGCCGATCGGGTAAGAGGGCACCAAATCCATTAGCCCGTCTGAAACTAACCCAACATGAGTGGCCATCCAAAGCAAATGAAGAACTTTCACTGCCTTCCAGAGAGTCTGATGCTGTAGGTTTGTCTTGATGCCCAGAAATGTGCATTTTTTTTTTTTTTAAAAGGCTACCCAAATAATTCTGGGAACCAGTGCTTAAGAACTAGTAATTACGAGCTACCCAGCACTGGGAGTAGCTTTTAAGAAATAATCAGGGGGAAATGGGATTCAGGGAACCTAGACAGTCATTTTCATTGACATGAAAAAGATCTTTAACCGATTTTATTCTACTAATCACACACTACATGTTCATAAGGCAATGCTGCCTGAACCCTCCCAGCATCTTCTGGAAGATGGCATGCCCAAGAGCTGATAGCCCATTCAATGTGACGAACTGCCTACACCAAACGTCCAGAGGTTCCACATCTATGAAACATAATTTATGAGTTCTCTGATGCTTAAGTACAGCTTATACTTTAGAATTTCACCTCAAATCCTTTTTAAAAGAAGACAGAATAAAGGTAAGTATTTTTGAAAATATATTACTCAAGAAACAAATTTTAAAATGTGTGGTCTCCCAAAAAAAGCAGTTACATCAGAAGGTCTGGGTCTTCATCTTGACCACTAATTAGATGTATGGGCCTTAACTTTCTCATCTATAAATGGGAAAACAGATGCCCCCTCCTACCTCAATGCATATATAAAAATAAAACAGGTATGAAAAGCATTCAGAAAGTTTCTTAAGTTCTATTTAAATGCAAGTTTTTGTAACAGCTTGGTAAAGAACAGCTTCAGAGGGACCAGCATGGTGGAACAAAAACCAACCACTGCTTCATCTGAGAGTGGCACGTCCCCCAGGCATGATGGTATAGAACCATGACCTAGAAGTATCACATTTTAGGCCAATAAATGTATGGCCAAGTATTCCTCGATGATAGTGATGTTTCCTGTCTGTCTCAGAAGAGGTTAAGTTGTGGATGCAAGGTACTCAGTGGTTCCTCAGGGATTTCCAAGTAGAACTACCATATTCTTTTTCAGTCAATTTCAAAACAATATTTGAATATTAATTTAATAATGCTTCAAATGGGAAACATGTCTACTCTCCCACCCTAGAAAATAAACAAGCTCAAAAAATAAAATTCCAAAAAAACTTAACTCATTTTCACCTAGTTCTTTCCAAAGCTGTTTGAGCAAACCGTAAGAAAACCAAGGAAGGCACCCTGTCACGCTTACAAATAACTACATGACTGTTAGCACTGTAAGATTGGGAGGTAGGTATGCAATAAAAGAATGTAAGGATAAATTCCTCTGAACTAATTCTTATGCAATTTGCTCACTTTTCTCAAGGAAATCTGAACCATCCCTCCAACCACCTGACTAAATGTGCAAACTATTCATCTTAATACACAAAGAAAACAAAGGTTTTAAAAGATGCGAAAGACACACAAAAAATAATCAAATGAGTGGTCGAGTTAAATGAAATAAATTACATGCAATCTTTTAGGGGAATTCAAACTGACCTAAAACGCTTAACTGGAACATTCTCAAATGGTTTTTAGATGGCTACAGCTCAGGGACAGTGAGGTAATGGAGGTCCTAGCAGGCCCTGGTGGCCAAGTCATAGCTCACATTTCCCCTCTGCTGCCCTCACCTTTCTGGAAGTGAAGCCACTTCCCCAGAGAGCCTCCTAATTGCTACGGCTCCATTCCATCTTCACCAGAGCAACTGCTGCTCAGATGAAGACGTAAGTTTTCATGCTGAGGTTTGGCACGTCTGTGAGGATCCAAATCTCCAACCTGATGGTGTGAGCAGCTGCCACCTGCTCTGTTTATAGACTGGAGAAGCCACAGCGGTATGGGCTAAGCAGCAGAGGCAGCCAGTGGCCACATGATGCCTGGTTGCCCCCCACTCCATGGCCCACTATAATCTCAGTACAGTGGCAAGAGATAAGTTACCTCCTGCAGAGCCTGGGCCAGCTGTTGCTTCAGGTCCTCTTCTCCTTCCTCTTTCTCCAAGTCCTGCAAAGCCAAAACAAAATGGAAGGTTTCCCTGCATGGGTGGGAAAAAAGGAACAAAATCCAGCAACAAGCAGAGCAGACCCGCTAGTGTGAGCATCTGGAAACAACAGGATGCAGGGAGCAGATGGAAAATCTCCTGTTTTATTTCAAGCTGCTGGCAGTAAAGGATTTGAGCAGAGTTAACTGCTCAAATATCGCACGCCTCAGGGCTGTCAGCTTCAAGTTATCACTCTGGTTATCCTGAAAAAACTATGGGTTAACAGTTCAAACCTCCTTCATCAGCTAATGCTATGATTCCCGAAAGGATATAACCCGAGAACTTCCGAGCCACCAAATGTCTAAACTCAAGCAGAATCCCCCATGCTGTCACTCACAAGACCTACCATGTTTCTTCCCTCTGTTCTGGCCAACCTGTCTCTCCTTCTGAGTCTCATTATGACTTTTAGCCTATACACTGTTCCGCTCTCTCCTTGCATGAGCTTATGTTGTATTTCCTCCATCAGCCCCCTCTAATACAGACACCTTCCAGACCATCATTAAACCTATGTCCAGTACCTTCCACAAGAACCTCTGGGCCTTTCCCTCCTTAAGAATTACATACCCATTTAATATGCCAACTTGAAATTGTTCTCTAGTTTACTATATTGACTGAAATGTGCATAATACTATATTGCATACTATACTATATTGACTGTATGTGCATAATACATCTTGTCTTCTCAACAAGATAAATTCCTTAATGGTAAAAACCATTTATTAAGCATCTTTATAACCACCAGAATTCTGGCAAGGTGGGTGTTCAAAAAAAAAAAGCCTGCATGAAGCAGCAAGGGTTGAACAAGCTTCTGAACAAGTAGTAGGGGAAGGGTAAAACCCTGGAGCTCGGTGGGCAGAGGGAAATGTGGCTAATAAACAAGGGACTAGGTATGCTTCCCACGTAATTTACACACGACCTACTCATACCTAGAGAGTCTCTAAACCAATCCTTTTCACCTTTAACATTTTGGTACCATAAAAAGATCCTGAAGCTACATCTTGAAGCAATGCCCAGAGCAGCCACAAATACTAATCAACAGTAACTCTTCTTCCTGAACGTATTAGCCTTTAAAGAGAGTTCTGCTCTGGTGATGGTGTGATACCCTAAATATATAGAGATAAACCAACCTCTATTAATTTCAAGAACTACTCTAGGCTGGATAGGGGAAGCAAAAAGGTACACACAAGCAACCAGCATATACCCTTAAAAGATCTATTAAATAGATCCATGGCCTTCGCTAATACTATCAGTTCAAGGGGATAGCAGAGATCAGAATGAAATTTATAAATTGTTCAGAAATAAGCCAACATTACTCCTGGTTATTCCTTACCCTGAGCAATTCAAACAAAAGATAAAAGCTTATTCACTTGACTTGTGATTGGCCCTTCTGAGTTCTAAGTCAACAATGGGGAATTCTTGACATTCAATATTACCCAAGCAACTGGGTGGGAATAAAACCTGTGGTTCCTGCCAGATGAGAAATGACATTTTGAGCAGGGACAGGATCAGCTCTAGCCTAAAGCTTTATGCAAGGGCTTGTCATTTAAGTAAATGACTTGGGGATGGGAACACATTTGGTCTTACCTTGACACAGCTAAGACAGTCATTATTTTACCTTCCTACAGGAAGGTGGCTTATCACTCAACCCAACGATGCATTCATGGCATACCTGTCCCCTCGAATGCTAGGTGCTCAGGATAGAAACACATTTTCTGCCTTTCTAGCCTCCCACTTCCTAGGTTAGCTGCAGCGTTAACTAACCCTCACAGCTGTCAGGTGTAATGAGGGTAGAGGAACCAGCTGACCTGTATCTGCTTTAGGACTAAGGGATATGGCCCAATGGCATCTGACCTTCACCCAACTTCTCCCCGAGTTTACCTTGGTTCTGAGATGCCTGAGCTTTGTATCCTGAAATCAGTTACATCCTGGCTGGCTCTGCTGTCACCTTACCCTATCTTGGCACCTCAGCTCTGGCTCCTGATCTCATCATCAGCCTTAACCCTTTACTCGACCCCCTTCTTTTATCTCAAAGTTTTCTGTTCCCATTCCATTTCCTGTCCCTGGTGCTCGGCATTTGGTACCTGGCCCCGAAACTAGGAGCTCTGGCCAGAGGCTCACAAACTGCCTGCCCACCCCTGAGGGGCACTCTTGTCTTTCCCTCCTGTGTGGTACCTGGAGATGCTGTTCCTCTTCCCGGAAAGTCTTCTCTAGTTGCTCGACTCTTGCCTGCTGCTGAGCCTGCTCTGCACACAGCTGGGACTGTAAGTCCTGCAGTTCCTGCTCCATTTTCACAATTTCTTTTGAGTTCTCCTTTTGGGTCTGCTTTTTCACATTCAGAACAGCTACCTGTTTTTCTTGCATCTGTGTTTTCAGCTTCAGCATCCTGGACATGGTCACCTTAAAGATCTCTAAGCTGCTCTGAGAGGCTGAAGAGTTTGAGGCTTTCTGCTTCTTGTGATGAAGCTCTATGACTTTTGGGGAGCCAGACTCTGTGGTCTTTTCATTTGGCTCAAGAGAAGTCAACTTAGGATCCAAATATTCAGAGGGTTGACTGGCCACTTCACCTCTCCCATGAGACTTCACTAGCTGACCAGGTTTATAAAACACTTTACTTATTTTAGATTTCAGAGTTGAGGGTCCTTCAGCTCCAGAACCCTCTAATTCATCCACACTAAATTTCCTTTTAGTTCTCAAGCCCTTATTTTTTTCCATCATCCGATCACCGTTTGGGGAAAGACAGGGATATATCCTCTCCCAGTCTTCTTCAGTAACTTCATATTCATACTCTGCATTCTCTTTATTTTCCAGAGGCACTCCAAGCTGGATGTGGTCTCCCTTATGGATGGAATAAACCTTTAAGGGTTCCAGACGCTCTCTGTTCAGCCAAACACCATTTAGACTCTGGGGAAAGGGAAAGACAGACAAAATAAGCTTCATGATTTTCTTCCTCTTAACAAAACTTCTCTCCTGCTGCTGCAAAACCTCTGCCTTTTCAGAAGGAAAACCCTTGAAAACAAATAGAAAAGAAACGTTCATAGACCACTATCCTGAGAAACAGCACCTTTCAAACGGTGCTTTGGCTTTTACCTGTATTTCACATTCATGCCTCCACAGAGCACTGCCTGTATAACAGGCAGGAATTATCTTATTACTGGTGGATGATTCACTCGAGCATATGCAACAGCACAAAAGGAAATGGAAACTGGATCACTCCTATTAACCTAAACTGGAGGCAATGGCCCCAAACTGGAAAAAAATGCTATTAGTGAAGGAAACAGTATCTAATGGTGAGGGCCATGAATAGGCTTGGCCAGGAAAGTTACTCAAGTACTGTCTATGGATGCAGTCCCTCAACACATTGGTGAACTAGCAAAGTACCTCCCAGTACACATAAACCAAAAAGAGTACCCTACCTTGTACTGGGGTCAAACTGCAGGTAGGATCTGACCCAATTAACACTAACCAAGGGAGATACAAGACAGTGATTAAGAGCTGGCGCTCTGGACTCAGATAGATATTGGTTCATAGCCCAAGTGCACTACCTTGGGCTTATTACTAGTTGCATGGTGTTTGGCAATTTACTTAACCTCTCTGTAGCCCAGTATTGTCTGTAGAATTGTAATAGCACGGTACCTACCTCACACTGTTCCTGTGACGAATGGATAATACATGTAAAATACTTGGCGTAGAGACCCACATATAATAAATGCTTGATAAATCTTTACTTTTATAGTTTTAATGAAGTCATGGTACAGGGGTTAAGAGCATGGATCCTGGAGTCAGACTGCCTGGTTTGTAATGCGGCTCCATCACTTAACAGCTGTGTGACTCTGAGCAGGTTTCTTGACCTCTTTACGGCCGAGTTACTGCATGTATAAAATGGGTGATACTAGCAGTCTCTTCCTGTGTGGATTCAGTGAGGTAACACATGTAATGTACTTAGAACAGCCTGGGCACATGGTATTACATGTATAAATGCTCACTACTATTATTGTGTCTTGGTTCAATTGATTTATCAACAATCGCTTCAATTCAACGCTCAGTGTCTTGCAAGGTAAACGGTGTGAAGTGCTAAAGTAGAAAGTAGTGTGAAGTAGAAGATATAAAGACAACTTTTAGCAGCTGACTGCAGAAAGGACAACACAAGGGCACAAAGAAATAAATGTGGGATTCCATGGCATAGCCTACAAATGCAAAGGAATATCATGTGGAGCTGGGTAAGCCAAGGGATACTAAACAAAGATGATAGGTCCTAAAACAGACTTGAAACAAATGCAGGATTTAGACTTAAAAGATATTAGTGGGCATTTTAACCCACATCAAAGATTTAAACTTGGGGGACAGGCCAGAGATGAAGCTCACTTCTGAATTGAGATTTAGACTTATGTTTACACTGACATCTACAGCTACCTACTTTCAGCCAGAAAAAAATCCCTGGTCAATCCAAATATGAGGGACGGGAATCTTGCCCACAAAGCACAAGAGAAAGAGGCGGAAGTAGAGACCAGATCTTAGCTCTGGTTTGGTATTAGGCTCTTGTTTCCGGTTTTATCTTACATTATTTGGTTTGAGCAGAAAGAGGAAGAGAAAGACTGGTCTTTCTCCACTGCCCTGGGCCTAACCTGCTTCTCCCATCCTTTCTATTCAGCCTGAGAAACTACGGGCAGTGATCAGTTCCGCTGACTTCCAAAACAACAGATGGGGAAATAACAAAGGAGGGGGGTGGAGCCAGAACAATCTATTTGAGAACACTTTGAGAGTAGAATAGTCAACTTTAGATTATACACAGGAAAAGGGTCTCAGAAAAAACAATATGACATAGGAGGTCACCTAATACCAAGTTATAGAAATTTAAGAGAAGTCTCACAGACAAAGATTAGGTAAAATAAATAAGGTTACAGAAGAAGCCCAAGGCTAGAGAGAACAAGGAATCCCTAAAAGCTGGGGCAACTTCCAAGACACACTGCAGCCCTCCACTAGGTCCTCTGCATTAACCCACCTCCTTTGGAGCCCTTTCAATCTGGAAAATAAGCTCTCGAAATCCTCCCGTCACGCTTTGTCCTTGGATTCCTCTCCATTTACCCATTCATCACTACTTGGTGACACCTGGTGCTATAATTTGGACCATAGCCCTGAATCAGGTCCGTTCACAAGGAGACCATAGAAAAGGACAAAAATCCCATGGCTACATAAGAACCATCAAGTACTGCCCAGGATACGACCTCAAACACAACGGTTTAAATAAATCTTGCTTTGTTCAATGCTTTCTTGATGTTGGCTTTCGTAACCACCAACTTGAATGTCAGCAGCAGTAAAATAACACTCAGAGAAAAGCCTGCCAGATGTCTCCTTGCCATCACTGGAGAAAAGGTGGGATAACCCACACCCCCTTAGACACGAATTACTTCACCTGATGCTCTGTCCAGCTGTTTTTACACAGTTGTTGAGGACAGTGGAAACTCAACGCCAAAAGGCAATGTTTTCTTTAAGTTTTCTAGATGAGTTATGCAGCTCAGTGATTCTCAACCCTGAATGTACAGTAAAATCACCTGGCTGTAAAGCAAAATCACCTGAGGAAAGTTTAAAACAAATAGCAGTGTCTGGGTCTCACCTTCAGAGTGAGTTAACTGGTCTGACATGGGAACTAAAGTCACGTTTATACACAAACACATGTAGCTGTGTAATTGTGTCAAGATACAATGCCCCTTTGTAGTTAACCATTCCCCCATTCCCAGGCGACTGCTCATCTGCGCCCTACATAGACCTGTCTTTGCTAGAATGTAACATAAATGGAATCATACAGTAAATACCCTTTTGAATCTGGCTTCTTTCACTCAGTATAATGCCTTTGAGATGCACCCATGTTGTTACATTATCGGTATTTTGTTATTTTATATTGCTGAGTAATACTGAAGGTTATGTGAGACCACAGCTTATCCATTCCCTAATTTTTGCCCCAGGTTTTAGTAATTATGAATAAAGCTACTATAAATATTCACGTACAAGTTTCTATGAGCACATAAGTTATCATTAACCTTGGGTAAATATCTAGAAATAGGATCACTGGGCAAGATGATTAACTCTTAGAAAACACCAAACATCAGTGGAGCATGTGGCTCACGCCTGTTATCCTAGCACTCTGGGAGGCTTAGGCAGGAGGATTGCTTGCGGTCAGGAGTTCGAGACCAGCCTGAACAAGAGCAAGACGCCATCTCTACTAAAAACAGTAAAATTATCCGGGTGTGGTGGTGCACACCTGTATGCCGTCTCTACTAAAAATAGAAAAATTAGCTGGGTGTGGTGGTGCACACCTGTAGTCCCAGCTACTTGGGAGGCTGAGGCAGGAGGATCGCTTGAGCCAAGGAGTTTGAGGTTGCTGTGAGCTAGGTTGACGCCACGGCACTCTAGCCCGGGCAACAGAGCGAGACTCTGTTTCAAAAAAGAAAAGGAGAAGAAAGAGGAAGGAAGAGGAAGGAAGGAAGAGGAAGGAAGAAAGAGGAAGGAAGGAAGGAAGGAAGGAAGGAAAGAAACAAACCACCAAACATAGCTTGAGCCCAGAAGTTTGAGGCTGCAGTGAGCTATGATTGGGCCACTTCACTCTAGCCTGGGTGACACAGCAAGACTTCATCTCTTAAGGGAAAAAAAAATTAAAAACAAACAACCCCCACAAAACCACCAAATAGTTTTTCAAGGTGGAAGTACTATTTTGTATTCCTACTTGCAATGTTTAAGAGTTCCAGTTACTCTGCATGCTTCCCAAGCACTTGGTATCATGAATTTTATTCTAGCAATTCTAACTGATGTGTATCAGTCAAGATTTTTAAAAAATGCTTTACTAAAGCACAACACACAAACATAAAAGTGCACAAATCATAATGTACAAATAGATGAATTATCACAAAGTGAACATTTCAATGTAACTACGATGAGGTTAAAAACAAAACAAAACCCACATTATCAGCATTCCTGAAACCCACTGTGCTCCCTTCCAGTCAGTAAGTCCTTCCTTCCACCAGATAAAGTGACTACCACTTTGACTTAACAGCACATATTAATTTTGCCTGGTTTTGAACATTATATAAATGGTATCGTATTCTTTGTGTCTGGTTTCTTTCCCTCAATATGATGTTTGTGTGGTACAGCCATGTTGCTGTGTAGAGTAGCTCATTCATGTTCACTACAGCATAGTGCTTCGTTGTAAGAATATTCCACAGTTTGTCCATTCTATTGATGGACATTTGGGTTGTTTCCCTGGGAGTGAAAACACTGTGTCATGAGCTATACATATGTTCAACTATAATAAATAATGCCAAATAATTTCCCAAAGTAGTTGTACCAATTTATACTCCCACCAGAAGAGTTAAGAGCACTACTTGTTCCATATCCTTGCCAATACCTGGCATCGGCAGTCTTCGACTTTAGCCATTCTGGTCAACGTGCAGTGGTATTTCATTGTGGTTTCAATTTGCATTTCCCTGATCATTAAGGAGTTTGAACACTTTCCATGGATACTGAACATTTGGATATAATCTTTTGTGAAGGGTCTGTCTCTTGCCCGTTTTTAAAATTAGCTTGTATCTGTCTTTTTCTTACTGATTTGGAGTTCTGTATGTATATAAGTCCTTCATTGATTATAATATGTAGCGAACATCTTCCACTCTGAGTTTGCCTTTCACTCTCTTAATAGTGTCTTTTGATGAATGGACATTCTTAATTTTATTGTGCTACCATCAGTTATTTTTAAAAAGTACCCCAGGTAAGGGCAAAAACTGGAAACAGGGTTGAAACCCATTGCTGGAAGACCAGAATATGAACTATCCCAAGCAGCAAGGTTTGTTCCCATAGAGTATGCTCACCAGAGACTTCAAATGCTGGAGCCCACAGAAGAACGAAGGTAGGAATCACCAAGTAGCAGGTGAAAAGCAACAGGAGAGGAGAGGAATAATGGAAAAGCCTCAAATAAGACACATCCAAGCCTCTAAAGCACTTCGCATTGTGACTGTGAAACAACTGGTTTTACAGAAGAGCTGGATACCAATACAAAGGGCGGACCGTCTGAAGATTATCAATTACCTGAAATCTATACAACTAGAACCATCCCCATACTGTATGCAGAGTTAGCTGTTCGCCAAGGTTTTTTTTCTTTATTTTAAGCCAATTTTAAACCAAAATAACATTTGGTGCAATTTTTGTATCTATACTTAAAGCTCTCACTTTCTGGTCATTCCAGCAGGTGAAAGAGACTATGATGAGAGAACTCAGTTCTGAGTTGTTTTTTTTTTTTTTTTTTGAGACAGAATTTCACTCTGTTGCCTGGGCTAGAGTGCCGTGGCGTCAGCCTAGCTCACAGCAACCTCAAACTCCTGGGCTCAAGCAATCCTTCTGCCTCAGCCTCCCAAGTAGCTGGGATTACAGGCATGCACCACCACGCTAATTTTTTTTTCTATACATATTTTTAGTTGTTCGGCCAATTTCTTTCTATTTTTTAGTAGAGACAGGGTCTCACTCTTGCTCAGGCTGGTCTGAAACTCCTGATCCCAAGCAATCCTCCCGCCTCGGCCTCCCAGAGTGCTAGGATTACAGGTGTGAGCCACCGCGCCTGGCCCTGAGTTCTGAATTATTAGAAACACCTAACTCTTGAAAGAGACTTGACAAATGACTTCAGACATGACTATAAAAATAATAATAATATCCTGCAGCTGAAATGCAAGTCCCTTATCAGCAGAAGAGGGCTGCTGTTGCATCACGCCATGAAGAAACCAGAAAGAAAGGGAGCATCTGTTATGCCAAAAAAGGAGGCAGAAGGTTTACTTGCAAAAATTGTTCCATCAAAACACCCCAGTCCTAGCTTCACTCAAAAATCAATTACCTCACTTCAAACAACTAAAAGTAGACCTACCATTCAATCCAGCAATCCCACTACTCGGTATCCACTCAAAGGAAAAGATGTCATTATATCAAAAAGACACATACACTTGTATGTTTATCACAGCACAATTCACAACTGCAGAGATATAGAATCAACCTAAGTGCCCATTAACGATGAATGGATACACACACACACACATACATACCCCGTGGAATACTACTCAGCCACAAAATAGAATAAAACAATGTCTTTTGCAACAACGTGGATGGAACTGGAAGCCATTAAACTAAATGAATTATCTCAGGAATGAAAAAACAAATACCACATGTACTCACTTATAAGTGGGAGCTAAATGATGGGTATACATGGTCATACAGAGTGGTATGATGGACTTTGGGGACTCAGAAAGGGAAGAATGGGAGGGGCCTGAAGGACCAAATACCACCTGTCAGTTACAATATACATTATTCAGGTGATGGGTACACTAAAAGCCCTAACTTCCCCACTATGCAACTCATCCACATAACAAAAAACCACTTGTACCCCTAAATCTACTGAAATAAAAATAAAAAGAAAAAAAATCGTTACACCTCACAATCATAGCTAAAAGGTTTAAGCCAATGGTACAGAAAAGTCTTAGAAAAATTAGGAACCTACCCTTCTTCTATTTTACCTGACAGAGACCTGAGAAGAGAGTCATATGATAACAACAGCCCTAGAAAAAAGGGTACAAAGCAACACTGGAGAGTGAGCCCACAGCAGTCATGATCTGTCGCTGGCACAGGCTGCCTCTGTATTCCTGTGGGTGACATTCGAGAAACACTAAAATTGGTCAGCTGGTGGCTTCCCAACCTACTAAAATCTGCTAATCCCATAACTGGATCACGTCCACACTGCACACAAGGAAAGAAGCAGTAGAGAACTCACCTCTATAATACTGTAATCCCATATCTCCTAAGGTTTTTTTTTTTTTGAGACAGCATCTCGCTCTGTTGCCTAGGTTAGAGTACAGTAGCATCACCGTAGCTCGCTGTAATCTCAAACTCCTGAGCTTAAGCGATCCTCCTACCTCAGCCTCCCAAGTAGGTAGAACTACAGGTACACACCACCATGCCTGGCTAATCTTTCTATTTTTTGTAGAGACAGGATCTCACTAAGTTTCCCAGACCGGTCTCCAACTCCTGGGCTCAAGTGATCCTCCTGCCTTGGCCCCTTAAAGCGCTACCTTACATGGCCCTTAACGTGTTTTGATATAAGCTATTACAGAGGCTTTAAAACCTTGCAGCTATAATGCATAATTAATTTTTTTAAATCATGAAGCCAGTATAATAAATCACTTACGTACTTTACTGGTATTTGACAAGAGAGTATAGTAAAGAAACTTACCTGAGTTTAAGTCCTGGCTCATTTACCCACTCACCAGTTCCAGAGATCTTGGGCAAAACAGTTTCTCTTTCTGGGCTTCATATTCACCTGTCTACATAAGGAGTTAAACTAGATGATCTCAGGGCCAATTTCTCCTCTGCTCATGGTGCCTTGCTAAAAGTGCTGAACGAATTTACTTAGCATTTATACTGTCTCCTTCGACACACTGTCAATTCAACTCTAGAGCAGGAATTCTAAGCTGTTCTCCACCAGCTTAAATCTAGCAGTTTTACCCACGCAAAATGAGGCTGCTGGGCAGGTCTATGGGACATCCTTCCCTTCTAATAGGTACCTTTAAAATCCTTCTAGCCAGGGCAGTGAAGCAGTGTGAAATGGTGCCTGAAGACATTTTATGCTTCCTAAACCTTAACTGTTTGCATTAGAATTCCTCTCACCTCACAGCCTGTATTTTCATTATATTCCTGGTTGCTGGATTATCTGCACTTTAGATACTTTCTAATTGCCGGGCTTTATATACGATTCCACCACCCTCAGAACATTTACCATTAAACCAGTGGTTTTCAAAATTGTTTAACGCAGAAAAAGCATTTATTCAAAGGAAATCTTCAGAATGCCAATATGGAAAACAGGCTTTAGAAAGGGGGCGGGGTGTTACTCTGACTGAAAGGATCGTGAGGAAGGGAAGGAGCGAAGCGCAGTCGGCTCAGTCTCTCCCTCCTCCCCGTGTCTGCTGAGTCTCAGGTGCACTCTAGGAGCTTCAGCAGATTCCCGGGGGCTGTGGATCTTCGCTTTAAGAAGGACTAGTCTCCCAGTCACTTAGTCTAGTTTCTGGAATAGGACCTACTGCCCCAATTCAGGTGTTCCCTTCACGGTAACCAACTTCAGCCCAAATCGTGAGAAATTATTTTGGCATAATCTAATCTCTGGTGGTATATAGAAGGAGTTGCCTCTGGAAAAGAGAACTGGGTAGCTAGGGGAGAAGAAGATACTATTATAGTTTGGAATTTTGTACCATTAATTACCTATGCAAAAAAAAACGTAATTTAAAAATAAACCAAAAAAATCAATAAATGTCCTTAGGCTCCTGTGAATTCCTGTACCTGGTTGTCCATAATTGTCCACTGGCCCTCAGGATTCTGCTTCAAAACACAGTGGTTTCGAGAAATCATCAAAGGGCAGATTTTTGACACCAGTTGGTACGTGACACCAAATCCTCGTCCTACAGTCACCTAGGAAGACAGCAATGTTAGGAGACAGTCAGTCATTGTAGTCAATCTTGTCAACTAGCAGTGTGCACAGGTCCTCCTATAGAATCCAAACAGTTTATCTGCTATCTCCTCTTCAGCTGCTGTGGGAGCCACCAAATAGAAAAAGGCAACAAGTTGTGACAAAAGAAAGCTAAAAGGAGTTAACCATGGAATCTCAGGGTTGGTAGGATCCTGAAAGGGCATCTGGTTCAATTACCCATGAGATGGAGAAATTCTTTCTACACATCCCAAATCTACCCATCTTAAACAATGCCATGAACTATAGGCTTTATATAAGGCAGGCTCTCCAGTTTTTTTTAATGGCTCTGAATTGGCATCTTTCTCCCTATAAATTCCATCCACTGGCACTGGCTCTGCCCTGGACACCAACAGAAAATCCCCATTCCTCCTTGCATGTCACAACTATAAAGCGACTGAGTCTCCTCTGGCTCTGTATTCCCAGTTACTTCAACCTAACTCCCAGGGCAAGGGTTTGAGTCTCTCTGCCATTCTAATGAGTCTTTGAAAGGACTGCTGGTTTATCTTTTTTCTTGGATGCCACATTAAGAAAAATAAACTTCTATTACACGGTCAAATTCAAGTGTCACTTGCCCAGTTATAGATATTATTATTGCAGCATATAAATTGAATTAGCTTTCATAGCAGATCTAGTACACTGCCAATGTACTCTCAGACTTAGGAATGATTAAATTTCTTGGTTTCCTCCTTTTCCAAGAATTGCTAAGATAAGTCATGTCTCATCCATTCTATACTTAACCAATAGAGAAAAACTTGGATTCAAGTGCAGGACCTTAGATTGGTTCCTATTAAATTTCATCTTCTTAGTTCAGCCTATCACACCAGTTTATCAAGACCTTTCTGAATTTTTAATCTGCCATCAGACTAAATACACTCAGTATCCTTCCAGCTTTGAGTCACCCACCAAATTAATATGATGCCTTCTGTACCTTCATTCAAGACACATAAAAATACTGAAATGGGATGTAGCCAAAGGCAAAGTTTTCAGGAAAGCTTAGTATACATTAACACACACGATCTGGATATACCTTCAACCAGTCTTTGCATTCAACAAAGTCTCTGCATTGAGTATATATTCTTCATCTTATCCACAAGGACAGTATGAGAACCTCTGGAAAAGGTTGAAAGGAAGCCCCAATTCACATCTATCATGCTTTCCTGATGGATCAGTCTAGTTCATAACAACCCTGTGAAGGAAGGAAATGAATTCTTCTGAGATCCAAGTCTTAGAATTCCTGGCTTATTCTTCTCGGTGTACAAGCTACCTCTTTAATGACACATATATATCGCAAACTTAACTGGGAACATTAAACCAAAATCTACGGTTTTCTAAAAACTGCCCTCTTTGCTCCTTTTGAAAATCTATCAGAATCATGCTTGTCCTCCTCAGTTGCTCAAAGACCACCATGACTCCCTCTGACCTAATCTACTCCTCCCCACAAACGCTCATTCAGTAATTAACACTACCGTCCAACCAACTGCTCAACCCAAAACCCATAAGCCATCCTTCATTCACCTCTGTGCCTCATCCCCACATTCAAATCACCAGTAAATTCTACTGGCTGTGATTCAAATATGTTCTAAATCTGTTCATTTCTATCTATAGTTACGACCTTAGTCCAAACCACCTGGCCTCTCACTGTTTTTGCTCCTGCTCTAGTCCCCCTAAACTTCACATAGCAGCTAGAGTGGAAATGTAAAAATTTTAAATCAGATCATTTCCCTTTTTTCTTAAAACCCTCCAATCATTCAAACTTCTTCCCATGGCCTATAAGACCATGAATGTCCTGAGCCCCTCCATTTGCTTAGTCTTAGTCTTCTCTCTCACACCATGGTGGCAATACTAGCTGCTTCAGCCACTCAAGTCTTCTTTTTGTTCCTTAACCACCCCCACCCCCCACGCCCCCAGTTCCAGCCTGCCTGAGGATCTCCTTGTTCCCTCTACTACGAACACTCTTTTCTCAGATCTTTGCATGGGCACCTCAGCTTTCAAATTTCAGCTACTCACAGGCCTACTCTGACTACCCTTACCTAAAGTTGCCGTCTGCTTCCCCTCATCACATTTCTACAGTTGTTAGGATGTACTTATAACAATCCAAAATTATCTGGCTTGTTTTACTTTTTCCCCCTCCCACTTAGCAAAATGCAAATTTCATAAACAGGGACTTTATCTGTCTTATTTACCACTGTATTTCTGTGCCTGGCACGGTATTCAGTAAGTACTGTATTTGTGAATGAATGAAAGCATAAAGAGATCTTGTCCATGGGTCCTCCCAGATTCTAGAATGAGCATTTTTGCAGGTCACAAGTTGTAAACTATATTATTACCACTAGAAAATATGAGCAGCAGCTAGAGACTCTTATTAAAATCTCACTTGTTCCCTTTAAAATGTGGTGACCACTCCACCCAAACTCTGATGATGAGGTTTTTCAGTTCTTTGACAGTTTGCCAGAAATTCCATTAATTATATAAGTCCTTCTGAATTAATACATATATCCTTTAAAAATAGAATGCTTAAGGATTTATCTGTCCTCCATATTCAGCAAAAATGTCCATTTAAGTATTTATTTCTCAGAGAGGAAGTATTACATTTTCCACTTTAATACTAGAGGGAGACAGCCAGACTGCCATCGTAGGTAGCTGGGAGAAAATAGTACAGAAAAGGTAGAAGAGTGCCTTGTTCTGAAATTGCCTCCTACAGATTCTGAATCCAAGAAAAAGGAAACATTCTTTTTCATGCTTCCCTTCACTGTCTGGTCCTAGAATTTACCTTGGTCCTATTGATATTTTACCTATACTAAAGTTAAAGAATACCATGAGCTTATCTGGAAATCTTAGCACCACTCGTAGCATTAAATTTCCCATGGGAACCAAGTGCTGAGAAACTGTCAACCTGTATGTTAGGGGTTGTTTCCATTTACAACAGTTCTGCAAGTCTTTGAGCTTACTCACATTACTGATTCAAAAGATCATCTTGTCCTTGCCCACCTTCACTAATGCTACCTCTTTCCTCCTGGGCACAACTCCTGCTGTCTTCCAGATGACTAGTAAATACTTCAGAACCATTCTTTCCTTGGAGCAGAAAGCTTCACAAAAACCAAAGACAAAAAAAGGGGAAAAAGAAAAGTACTATGGTTTTTATCCCAAAGACCTAGATATTCACAGTGCCTGGGAACTAGCTAATTTGTAAGAAATCTCTACTTATTTGTTTTTCCACCAAACTCTAGATTGGTTTAAGAAGTTTAAGGACACTCATCTAGGCAGACAATTTACTGAGGATTCTCTTCAATGCAATGAGAGAAACCCTGTTTTATTATTTTATCTGCAACATCTGAGACTTTGAGAACTGGAAAGGCAGGGAACTAATCTTACTTTTCTGTTATAACTAAATGATATCAACATGCTTCTCAAAATCTTGTGCAAACCTGCTTTTGCTATGGTTTGGGAACCATTACAATACAATAAGTACAACTTTATCTCTTGGCTTTGATTCAGACCTCTGCTTCTACACACTGCAGGCCATGCTCCAACTACTGCCTAAGACCCGACACTGAAGACAGCCAGGCCTGGCAGGCTTCTCCCGCACATAGGCCCCTGAGGCACTCTGCTTTCTTCCCACTGTGCCTTTACCATTCTCTGGGGATGGGTCTCTCCCCATAGCATGGCCCACACGAAACCATCCAGTAGTTTAGAATATGTCTAGGAATGCTTTACAGTCCTCTTGCCCTTGCTACAGATGCTTTAATTCTCTCTCCTCATCCCACCTGCCCAAGATTGCAATACTACCGAGCTATTCAGAGGAATATTAAACCACAGCAACTGACTCTGAAAGAATGAGTTAACACTTGACCCGTAAGTTACCTTATAGGGATGTGTGAGAGAGTGCAGTGCATGTGCAGGGATCAGATTAAGTAATGTATGTGAAATAACTTATTTTTGTGTATAACTGTATTATTCAGGTGTTAGTGTCTCAATTTGTTAAAAATTCACAACAACATATGCTTTTGGAAAGGGCCATCCATGGGAAGGTCAGTGCTCAAGCTGAAATAATGAGTGCCTAACGTGGGCTTGAAGGCACTAATACTTGGATAAAAGAGGTGTCTGGGGGCAGAGATGTCTTCCTGGTGTTCCTCAAACCACAGCACACATGTAACCCTTTTATAACCCCCCCAATCTCGCAACATTTAAGGCTGGACCTGAATCCCTCTTCTGATTTCAGGAACCACTGCCCCAGGATATCACTAAACAATCCACATCTTGGCACTTGATCACACAGCCCACATGGATGTTCTTAGACTGCTTCAGTGTGTAAACCCTTTCCCCATTCAAGCCCTAAACTCTTTGAGTGCAGAAGTTATTTCTCCCTCTCACAGTAAACCAAACAACGTAAGTACTCATTACTATTAATAAGAGACTATTAATTGAGACTGAGGCTGCATGGCGGACAGGAAAAAATCTAACTAAACATACACGATAGTCAAAAGACTTCTTTAACTTAGAACGATCAACACCCACCCACTTTCACTGCAAGAGGAACCTTTCATACAAATTCTTTCCAAAACTCAAATAGTTCCACTCGCCACAAGCTCCTCCCTGACCCAGTTCTCCTTCCCAAACTGACTGCAATCTAACTCTCCCTCCGTCCTCTTCCCTCCCTGTCTCTAGAGACCCCGGCCTGGTCCTAATGGGCCCCCAACTGGAGCCGTGCCTCACCTTTCCTTTTTTAAATGTTTAAAAAACTATGCATTTGTGACTGCATTAACGAAGATGATAAGCAGTCTCTGGAGAGAACTCTAAATCCCCACCCACGCCCGGCCCACCTCAGGGGGTGCCGCTTGGGGTGTACTCCAGGGTACCAGACTCACAGGATAAAGGTGGCCCATCCCAAAGTGCCAATTTCCTTCAAAGAGTTGGAAAGGAGGAAGACATTTTTACCTTAAAGTCTGAGTATTTTAAGAGACACAACCCAAAACTCGCAATCGTTTTCAAAACAAACTCAAGAGAGTTCGCGCCCTCGGCGGCCCTTCCAGGCTCCGCCTCAGACCCCTGGCGCTCGCGGACTCTGGTGTGAGTCGGGGCGGCTCGGCCCCGGTTCCTCGGCCGCAGGCTGAGCACCGATGGGCTTCGTGCGACCCAAACTGCGGCTGTCCCAGCTCCCTGTCCCCTCCTCGAAACGCCAGCACCTCCTCACCTCCGCTACACGCCCCTCCCGCGATGCCCCTGCCCTCGGCTCCTTCCCACAACCCCGACGCCTGCCCCAGCTCGACCTTCAGGCCCAGGCCTCTTGGGAAAGGGCCATCTTCTCACCTCTCTTCCCTCGGGCCGGGGCCGCGGTCCCCACCCCGCCCGCTGAAGCCCCGCAGGTCTCCCCGGAGCCGAACTCTACTTTCTCCCACTTGGTTCCTGTTTCTCCCCAAACACCTCCCACCTCGGACCCCCACAAACGCTCGCACCAGAACCAGACTTTCTCCCTTCTCTCCCTCAGCACTCAGCCTTCACACCTCGCTCCTCCTCCCAGCTCCCACCTCTTCTTCTCCATCCATCCCGCCCACCCTAACGCCCTCGCTCCCTTCCCCCACCCAGCGTCCTCCAACCCCAGTCCCTCGTCCCAACGGGAACCCTCCCCTCTCACCTCGCGCCCATCCTCCAGCAGCAGCCACTCGGCGTTCATCCCCATCCGCCGCAAGCACCAGCTCCGGCCACCGACGCGGTCTCCCGTGACCAAGAAGCCTGGCTCCCCCATAGCCAACTCGACCGTGGCCGGCGGTCACCACCGAACCAGACCCAGACCCGGGTTCCGGCCGCCTCTTCGCCGCCTCGTGAGCACCATATCTACAGAACAGACAGGAGCAATCGCTGCGCGCTCGCGATCGATGCGAAGACACTCTCCGGCTGCGAGCCCGCCCCTCCTCGGCAGGGAAGCAGGAGCACTGCGCTTGCGCGAGAGGACGGCCGCCGCGGGGCGGAGACGGTTGGGCGGGGCGAGGCGCTAACTCCAAGGGCGCGCGGGCGGGGCCCCAGGGGTTCTACCTGTCCGCCCCGCCTTCCTCCTCCCTCTCCAGAACCACCGCTCCAGTCCTAGCCGCCCCAGACTGGAACTTCTCCTCACCTTTCCTCTTTTTGAAAAACTTTTGCTTAATGACCTCATTATGATGATGATACTCATGTTATTTAAGCAACTTTAAACTTTCCATAACTTTTTAAGTCTGTTTATTCTGTTCCTAAACAGCAGTTATTTTGCACGACCTCCTTTTATTACCGAATTCTTAAAAAAATGATGCGAGGCAAATCTATTCAGAAAGCGCAATTACCTGGGGCTGGGTGTGGGAGTGAGTATTGAATGTAAAAGGCCTTGAAGGAATTTTGGGGGGAGGGGTGATAGAAATGTTTTAAAAGTGGATTGTGGTGATGACTGCACAACCCAACCGTATAAATTTACTAAAAAGTCATTGAAGTGTATACTTCCAATGGGTCAATTTTATGGTGTGTAAATTATCCTCAATAAAGCTGTTAACTTTTTTTTTTAAAAAAGCTCAACCTCTTCCCTTGGATCCTCCAATATAGTGTGATAGCTCTAGTGACTACCTCTGATAGCTCAATGCCCCCTTTTGTCTTTTCAGTTTTCCAATACCTAGTTAAGAATTTTCTTATATTAAATTCTGTCAGGAGAAAATGTATATGCTAAACGAATCATACAAAGTATAATAGTAAACGGCTTAACGTTTACTGAGAGCTGAGTGCTAGCTAGGCCAAGCACCCTACATACTTTATCTTATTTGTTCCTCACAAACAATATGATGGTGGTGGTTACAATTATAATTCCTACTTTAGAGATGATGAGAAAAGAGGCACAGAGATGTTGAATAATCTTCCCAAACTAACAAATTAAATGATGGAGTAGGCCTGTTTCCAAAGCCTAATTTCCTAAGCATGGTTGCAGCCCCAACCTGGAGCGTTTATCCGTGTGGCACTCTCAGATCAAGAATTGGTGGGAGCCACAGCTGCACTCATGGAGGTGCTTCCTTATGCTATACATGGGTGCCTGTTGGTGCCTCCACCCCACCTTAGCTCCCAGGTGTAGCAAGTGCTACTAGAGGCCACCCTGACAATACGTCTGTGTGTCTCCTTAGGCTCCTCTTGGCTGTGACAGATTCTCAGACTTGCTTTTGATCACCTTGACGATTTGAGAAGTACTGGCTGGATATTTCATAGACTGTCCCTCAGTTGGGATTTGTCTGATGTTTTTCTCTTGATTAGACTGGGGTTGTGGGTTTGGGGGAGGAAGACCACAGAGGTAAAGTGCCATTCTCATCATGTTATATCAAGGGCATGTGCTCTCAACATGAATGATCGCTGTCAGTGTTAATCTTGGTCACCTGGCTGAGGTCCTGTTTGTCAGGTTTCTCCACTGTAAACTTACTCTTTGGATACTCTTTCCATACTGTACTCTTTGGAAGGAAGTCACTATTCCCTTCCCAGCTCACACTTAAGAAACAGGGAATTGTGCTCCATTTCCTTAAGGGCAGAGTCTCTGCATAAACTATTTGGAATTTTTCTGCACAGGAATTTTGTCTCTTCTTTTGATTATTCAATTTTGATTATTTACAAATGATTATTCATTCATTTATTTATATCAGTATGGACCTGTGGGTATTTGTTTTATACTTTGGGTTGTAATCCAATACTGCTTTATTTGTTACTCAAATTGTTCCTACTTTGGCCATGGAGGGAGCTCTTTCAGTTGGCTGTGGCATCCCTTTGACATACTCTCACCATTGTGTTTTGTTGGGCACTTCCTTACTTTCTGGCACAAGATGCCCTATACATAGAATCGGCCATTTCTCCAAGGAGTCCTGGTTCCTTTTATTGGAAAATGGCATTAGAAACCAAAATCTGGGCACTAGGTGCACTTGTTGGTACTGGAATGTTGTTGCTTCTAGGCCCTCTCAGCTGACAGGGCAAGCAAATATATAGGTGAATACTAACCCCTCCATATATACATATTTATGAATATTTATGCACGTGTGTGTGTGTGTATATATATATACACACATATTCATGTTCATTCTCTATATATATATATATATATATATATATATATATATATACCTGTAAGCTAAACATGAGTTCATCCTGATGTCTTAAACAACTCTATTCTATTCTACCCGGATCATTCTAGCCATCCCCCCTTGCTTATCTATAACCTTCCACTTCAAAAGTGATAAACCTGGCTTCCCCATCTGTCATTCCTTTACTTAATCGTTCCCTTCCAGTGTGTATGTACAGGGTTTCAGAATGGTTAACCCTCCGCTCATGGAAATAACTTCAGTACTTATATTCAGGTCTTTTGCCTTTAGTCTTGACAGGTTCCACCCGTTTCCAAAGTCTCTTGGGTCAGCACCTTTTCCCCACACCCTTCAGAGAGGTTGTTTCATATGTTTGTAATAAATTAGATTCTTTTGCCACATAATCTGCATTCTATCTGGGATTCCCTGTCCTGCTAAATGATTTTTTTAAATTTATATACATTTTACATGAAAAATTACTGACTAATGTATACATTAAGGTTCACTTTTACTGCAAAGTTCCGTGAGTTCTGATAGAAACTTACTGCATAGTGTTATGTATCCACTATTACAGTATCATAGAAAATAGTTTCATTGCCCTAAAAAAAATCCTCCAGGCTTCACCTGTTCAGTCCCACTCCTGTCCCTTGCACCTCGCTTGTTTTATTTAACTATATATTCTGGAGATTACTCCATAGCAATATATACATATATTCCTCCCTCCTCATTATAGCTGTATATCACTCCATTGTGTAGCTGTACCATTGTTTACTCAACCAGTCCCATGTTGACATACAGCAGGGTTCTGCTGTCACAAATAGCCCTGCAATGAATTAGTAGGTACCACTTTTGAGTACCTATTATATGCTTTTCATATATTATCTTACTTAATCCTCATTGTCATCCTGCAAGACATTCCCGTTTACCTATGAGAAACCTGAGACTACTAGATTGCCCAAGTTCTCATTACCATGAGCTTAGTGAGGGTTGTCTTGTTTTCCACTGTATTCCTGACGTTTTACTGAACGAAGGAATGAACGCAGCTCAACTAGTAAGTGGCAGTCAGGGAACTGAAGCCAGGCCTGTAAGCCTAGACCTATCTAGCCCAAAGGGTGCATTCGTTACAGTCTAGGAGTAGGAATGCCACCCTTAGGAGTGCACAAGATGGTTCATTTGTTTGTGGAAAGAATATAACAGAATATCTAACTAGGTTTTTATCCCATCCTTTTAAAAATGTCCATTTTTGTGAATATTTTATAATTACATAAAGGAACATGGAGGATATGTAGACTCTTATGAATAAATAAATATGCCCATATGGGCTGTATTCTCAGTCATTGTTGTTGCTAAGAGTGTATGATCAAAACAATTTAAAGACTACTGACTTCTAAGATTTGGGGATTTTCCTAACTCCACCTCTCTTATATAGTGGCTCTTAACCGAAGGTGATTTGGCTCCCCCAAGGGCATTTGGCAATGTCTGGGGACATTTTTGATTGTCATGACAGGGACAGGGGTGCTACTGGAATCTAATGAGTAGAGACCAGGGATGCTGCTAACCATCCTATAAATCACAAGATAGCCCCACAACAAGAATTATCCAGTTCAAAATGTCAATAATGCTGAGGTTGAGAAACCCTATCTTACACCCGTCTCAGGAGGGAAAACTGAAGGGGAAAGAGAGAGCAGGACGCAGAAAGTAAGCAGGGTGTTATCTGTCTGTGGCTCTGACAACTGTCACAGTATGTATGCTCAACTAACGTCAACTGAACAGAGCTGAGGAATGGTAGAAAGAGCTGACTATGGAGAGGCTTGACTGGGCTTGGGGGGAATGACAGGAACGGGAGGAAGCACAGGGCAAGAAGAAAGGGAGAGGGAAGAGAGAAATATGGAAAGGAAGTGTGGCAGATTACGCTTTTACCAGATGATTGCAGCAAGATCTCCCACCTACTTGTCCTTACAATGTGGCATTGACACTGCTCACAGTGCAAGGGGGAGTCTTTTTCTCTCTTCTTGAAACTAGGTGGGCAGGTGACTCCAGCAGAAGTGATATTATGTCATAAAAGGTGAGTCAGCTTCCATCTGGTCTTTGGGGGATGCCCCCTCCTGGAACCTAGTCACCATGAAGAAGTGGAGCGATCACATGAAGAGGCCACATGCAGATGTTCTGGCCAACAGCCCCAACTGAGGTCCCAACTGACATCCAGCATCAATGACAGACATGGGAATGAAGATGCTCCTGGATGATACCAGCCCCTGACAATGAATCACCCCCAGCCCTGTGTCTTTCCAGCTCAGGCCGCAGACATCGAGGGTACCCATCCCTGTTGTACCCCATCTGAATTCCTGTGAACAGGAACACAATGCAACGTCTGTGAACACAATACAACAGTTGTGTTAAGCCACTTAGTTTTGAGGTGGTTTGTTATGCAGCAATAAAGAACTGGAACAGGAAGGGTGTAGGGACATGCTGGGGGTTCTTGGAACAGTCATTGGCGTGTGCTTTATGTATTAGTAAGGGTAATGCTAGCTGCTGTGACATATGAACCCCAAATTTCCGTGGTTTAACACAATAAAAGCTTATTTCTCATGTATTCGTGTAGTGCAGTGTTCCTGGGAGGTGGCCAGTCTTCCAGTATGTCATTCAGGGACTCAGACTACTTTCATCCTGTGGCTTTGCTGTTCCCCAGGGCTTGGAGTCCTCCGCGTCCAGAGAGCAAAACAGCGGAAGAAAGAATGGAGAAGGCACACCTGCTTCTTAACTGTCTTGTCCCAAAAGTTATATTAGAGAGAACTGGTCACACGACCCCACGCAGATC